AAACGGGCGGAATCCGTGCAGTTGTTTCACATATAGAGTTTGCGTCCCACGCGGTCTTCCACATGGGAAAACCGCACAGGACACACAAACGCTAAATGTGAATGGAACCTTACTGAACATCATGCACACTTTTGAAACCAGACCAACCATTAGTCCAACCACTGCCACAAGCACCTAGATACAAGATGGCTGCCTTAACCACTTGAAGACCAGGTGTTTACACCCCCCTTCCTGGCCAGGCCATTTTTCAGTATTCAGCGCTGCGGTACTTTGACTGACAATTTTTCCGTCATGCAACGCTGTACTGAAATGAATTTTATACCATTTTTTGGGGACAGACAGAGCATTCTTTTAGTGGTTTTAAACTATATTATTTTTTACTATAATATGAATAAAGTACTGAAAATTTCGAAAAGAAAACTGTTTCCCCTACATTATGTAAAAAAAAACTTTTATTATTACCCAAATTTTTCATAAAATATAAAAGATGGGGTCACGTCAGATAGATAGACACCAAACATGTCGAGCTTTAAAATTGGCCATAGGCGACACTTTAAAAGCTTTTACCGTCGCTCATCAGTTTAATGTTATCAGTGATTGATGGCCCTACAATTATTGCTCTCAGTCCGATGTTCACGGTGATATGTAACATGTGCAGCGCAATGGGCGCAATCGTCATTTTCTTACATATGTTTGTGGGGGGGGGGGACTTTAAAAAAAGATTTCAGTTTTTTTTTTATATGTGACTTTAAAAAAAAAAAATTTTTACTTTTTTTTCTCCACTTAACTTTATTGCTATCACATAGGGGGCTGGGAAATCCCCTATGTGATAGCCAATTTACACAGAATGGTCCTTTGACATCAGGGCTCTCTAAAGGTGCCCATACACTGCTCGATTCTCGTACGAGAATTGCGGGAAATCCCGCGATCGTACGAGAATCGAGCAGTGTGAACGAAGACGTGCAACCGTTACTACTGTACGGTCGCACGTCTTTTGTCTAAGGAGCACGCTAGAAAACCAGCCGAAAATCGTACGATTTTCGGCTGGTTTGAACGGTGCTCGGGAGAGCATACCTGCTCGGAAGCATACCTGCACACATAACACAAGCAATTAGCAGTCTCTACAGATGCCGGAACGCTTGCATGCAAACAGCCATCGTTGGCTGTTTACATTTCAAACAGATTTCCCGCTAGCGGGACGGGCGAGGACGTTTAAAAACGCTTGTTTACATTCAAGAAGCTTGTAATTAAACGGCCGGCCTAGAATCGGTTAACAGGGATATACTCACCACGGTCCCCGCTAGCTCCTAGACCAGTCCCTTCAGCCTCACTTCCCCTCCACTCCAGCGGTCTAAGGTCCTGTGAGTCATTACATCCTATACACAATGTAATGGATGCGAGGACATTAAGGGACATATCATCATCGCTGGAGAGGAGGAAGTGCGAGGCTGAAAGGACCAGTCTAGGAGCCAGCCGGGATCACAATTGGGGCGTATAGCTTTATTTTAGCTCCCTGGGGAAAACGAGCCCCAACCCTTGCAGTGAGGGGGGGAGGTAGATCAACTGCAAGGGTTAATATTTTATTTGCTGGAGTTCTTCTCTAAAGCAGAGCTAAAGTGTATGTAAGGGGGAGAGGCAGTATTCGTAGTGGTAGCAGTAAACCATGAATGAGACAGAGACACCCAGGAACAGTTCAAACATGTTTTCCGGCACTTTTATTCAGCAATGAATAAAACAAAGCTAGTTCAAAGCAGGAGGGCTGCGTACAGCAAAGAGTGAGCATATGGAGGGATGTCGTTCGAACGTTTGTTTGATTTTAACATTGGATTTTGTAATGTATAGAATTTCCCACAGAAAACCACATTCCCTGTTAGCATTTTGGTCATTGAAGAAAACATTTGAATTCTGCTGCTTTTTGAGTCACTACAGTCGGAAACGATTGCCGATTTGACCCCATTAACCATTAGAAAATCAAAAACTTTTTTTTTTAAATGAAATTCTACTGGTGTATGACCGGATTAATATCTGCTTACAAATAACAGTGTTGCTGAAGCACATAAGATCAGATGGCAGTCTCCCGTATTACCCTTATGTGTCTAATCTGACTCATTAGAAATCAAATCTTTCTGCAGTTTGGATAGCTGGGCCTATATTGGAGTTTTCCTGTGTATTGAATTGTGGAACTACAAGAACTGTTGTTTCTAGAATGATCCTGGCAGCTGGAATTGTTGTGTTGTGTTTGTTTCCTGCTCTGCACAAACACAATATTTCTGCATAAGGCCCCTTTTTACATGGGCTGATCAGGAGAGGATCCATGCACGGGTCCCCTCCTGATCACAGCAGTAGGGAGAGGATGTCACCGCTTTGACATCTGTGTCCATACAGTTTTTTACTGCACCTTGCGATGGAGGAAAAAAACTGCAATTACCGGACCCCATGTCTGTCTATGGGCAATCAGATGTATGATGACATGTGTCTGTTTACATCAGATTACCCCTGATGTGGCATGATTCGGTCCAGCGAAACGGATCTCTGATCTGTTTGTTTTTCTGGACCCGGCCAGAGTCGGCGGTAACCGGGTGTAAGCGGATACTCGTCCGTTTACACACAGCTTCCCATAGACTTACATTGGGCATCTGATCGGGTTTGCCTGAAAAACTGACAGGTGAAGCAGATTGGGCCGACCATGTGAAAGGTCCTAGTCTGCACACAAACATAAAGGTGCCCATACACCTGCCGATTATCGTACGATAATTGCGGGTGATCCCGCGATTGTACGATAATCGGCAGGTGTATGGGCAGCGTGCGACCACTTCTACTGTAAGGTTGCATGACTTTCGTCTTCCGAGCACGCTGGAAAACTTGCCGAAAATCGTAAATTTTCGGCGGGTTGCTGGCGTGCTCGGAAGACGAATGCCGCACGGGCAAGCGCACACTGCATGCTCAGCACTGCAATCATCGGAAGCCCGGCCCTCAGCGGGGAGGACTTGCGATGGTCGCAAGTACGATCTGCCTGTCCAAGATGGGCAAATCGTACGAAATTTTAATCACCTTACAACCATCGCACAACGAAAGTCGTGCGATGGTTGTGACCAGATTACTATTTAACTGAGAAGGAAGTCCATGCAACCACTAAGAAGAGCTGGGAGGCTTTATCCTGTTGCCCAGCAATCAGGACACTAGCCAAGAAGCCAGAGCGGGGCCGCAGCCTGTCACCTGGCAACCAGGATGCAAGCCCATGTGGGTAGGAGAGAAGTCGCATCCCATTGCCTAGCAACCGGGATACTAGCCGCCACTGGTAAGAAGAAGAGCCGGAAAAAGGCAGCGCCTGAGTATAGAGCAGTAAGCTGCTTTGTGGTGGAGTTTTGGAGAAAACCAGTGCCAGAATATGTTATTATTATACAGGATTTATATAGCGCCAACAGTTTGCGCAGCGCTTTACAATATAAGGAAGACATTACAATCACAATACAATTCAAGACAAGATGGTAAGGAGGGCCCTGCCCCTGAGGGCTTACAATCTAGAAGGGAGGGGCAAGTGATACATGAGGAGGTAGCTGTGTGGGGATGAATTGTTTGAGAACATGATGGTTCAGTGGTTAGGTCGAGGTGGGATAGGCTTCCCTGAAGAGATGAGTCTTAAGGGATCACCTAAAGGCAGACAGAGTGGGAGACAGACGGACAGGTTGTGTTAAAGAGTTCCACAGGATGGGAGAGACTATAGTGAAGTCCTGGAGGCAAGCATGGGAGGAGTTGGCGAGGGAGCTGGAATGCAGAAGTTATTTTGAAGAGCGGAGGGGATGGTTAGGGAGATACTTTGAGACAAGTTTTGAGATATAGCCGGGGGCAGAGTTGTGGATGGCTTTGTAAGTCATTGTTAATATTTTGAATTTTATCCTTTGGGCTATTGGAAGCCAGTGCAGGGATCGGAAGTGGGGGGTTGCAGACACTGAGTGGTTGGTTAGGTGAATGAGTCTAGCAGCACTATTCATGATAGACTGAAGAAGGTCAAGGTGTTTCCTCGAGGTCAGTCTAAGAAAGCAGTCAGGATGCATAAAGTATTAGATGACCAAAGCATTCACTCACTTGTGAGTTCTTTGTCAAGTTTGATGAAAACCTAGACGTATATGCGTATACTACATACATGCGCTGGCACAGTAGAAACTGAAGTAGAATTGCCCCTGCTACACAATATGTCTTTCTGACATGAAATTAACAGAAGGAAATCCTCTTCCAATGCTCATCAAGTGTAGCCAAATACCTAATGATTTCCATACCTGACGACATGCCTCCTCTATCCGCCTTTGATTTGACTAGTTACATCCCACCACTTGGCAAAGATGACAAAATCATGTTTCTGCTGGGAAGAAACAATCAAAGTGTGCTCATAATATAACAGTTCAATGGATGGGATGAGGTATGCCGCCAGGTCCCTTCCTCTCTCCTAACACTGTCGGGTTCTTGGTCCATGACCGAGTGCCCGACTTTTCATTGGGGTGACACCAAAATGACTGTCATTTTGGCGTCACCCCTCCAATGGTGGCACCTGTGTGCGGGCCGCACCCCCCGCGTGACGCCACCGATGATGATACAAGCATTGGAGCTAGAAGGAACCTAACTATATAACATAAAAAATATAACTAACATGTGTGTGTGTATATGTATATATATATAAAAACTAAAATATATATAACACAACAAATATAAATAATACATATAACATAAAACATATAAATAATCTAAATAACATAAATATAACAGAAGATAAAATAGTGCGCAGCATCCCACACACACGGCACAGCACCCGCAAAATGTGCAGGGGGAAAGATGACGTCATGGAGGGAGGAGGGCGTGGTTTACAGCGGGGTTAGGGGGAGAGGAGAGGATGGTAAAGTATGAGCGCGCGCGCCCTGGGGATGTTGGAGCGCGCGCTTCATCCAATCGACCAATGGGGGCGCTGTTCCCCGCAGCCTTTCTCCAATGGGCAAGAGGGGGGCGGTGCGGGTGCTCGCCAGGCGCGCTCCTGCTCCTGAGTTGGAGAAGGAGATCGGGGAACTGCACGTCACGGTCCCGACGATATTGGGGGCATCAGCTTGGGAGATTCGTAGCGGAGCCCGAGTGTTCCATCCCTGCACAGGACCAGGATGACAGAGCTGAGGCAGAGGCTGGCCCGGGAGCCGGAGGCAGAGGACAAGGTACATCATTGGGGATGCTGGGGGCTAGGGAAGGGGGGGAGGGTACCCTGGCATAATGAGAGCCCGGTCTGGGTGACACCTGTCATGGCATCATGATGCTGCACAAGGAACTGTGAATCTATGGGAGAGGAGCGCAGGGGGGAGGGGGGTGCAGTCAGTGAAATGGGTGATCGTAGCACGGGGGGTGTGGGGAGGGCGGAGGGGTGTTAATGACTTTCCCATTGCAATCCCCCCCCATGATATTTTTTTAAAGCAAGTGACATCAGAAGTGCCATTTGCTCCTTTGGATGTAGATGAGGCTCATTGGGACCGGTCACTGGTGGTGTATCACAAAGGGTCCATACTACGTCCTGTTCTATTTAAAAGTCAATTTTATCCTAGGTGGCCTTAGCCTTTACCCC